CAGGGGCCGCCGCAGCGCGCACGCGCGCCCCAGAGACGCCTGCCCGCTGGGGCCCGGGCGCTGCTGTCACCTGCAGACGGTGCAGGCGACCCTGGAGGACCTGGGCTGGAGCGACTGGGTGCTGTCCCCGCGCCAGCTGCAGCTGAGCATGTGCGTGGGCGAGTGCCCGCACCTCTACCGCTCGGCCAGCACGCACGCGCAGATCAAAGCGCGCCTGCACGGCCTGCAGCCCGACCGGGTGCCCGCCCCCTGCTGCGTCCCCTCCGGCTACACCCCGGTGGTCCTGCTGCACCGGACGGACAGCGGCGTGGCTCTGCAGACCTACGACGACCTGGTGGCCCGCGGCTGCCACTGCGCATGAGCGCCGCGCCGCCCCCGCACTCCTCCCTGATATTTATATTTGTATTTATTATTATTATTATTATTATTATTAACTTATTGGGGTCGGGCTGGGTGGGTGGGTGGGTTGTGTATTTATTTAAAACTGTTAATAAACGTGAGGCTGGTTTCTATGAGGGGCTGAGACGGAGCCTCAGTTTCCCCACGGCTGCCGCGGAAGGGACGCACGGGTGAGAGCGGATGCGGTGCCAGGCCAGGCTGCTGCGATCTCTCCGCGCTTGGGGCCAAGCCCGATGACCTGGGTTCGATCCCCGGGGACGCACTGCGTGGTGGAAAGGACTCGTGAGAGCTGTGCTCCGATCTCCGCGCGAGCTCGCCCTCCCTCCCCCTCCCTCCCTGTCTCCGCCTCTCACATACACACAATGTAATAAAAACTACTTTTTACAGAATTGTGCCACGTCTGAACACGTGTGCCGTAACTGTCATTTGTCACTGGGACAGTGCCTGACTCCACCTCAGTCACCAGTCAGCCTTCCAGTGGCCCTCCTGGGTGTGTGTGTCAGCTTTTTAAACATAGGCAGCCCGAGGTCATGAAATTCGAGATTTTACAAAACATGCTGACCCCGGCAGGGAAGAGGTCATTGCCCTTCCTGTTTCCAGCAATTTTATTGCTTTCACAGTGATGTTGCCTCTGGTCTTTCATATGAAAAGAGCATGGAGTAAACAAGAAGTTGTGAGGAAGTTTCACCCACACTGTATCTCCCAGGAAAGACATTCCTCGTGTGTGTGTGTGTGTGTGTGTGTGTGTCTGTGTGTGTGTGTCTGTGTCAGAATTGCTAGCTCAGGCCCTCGCACCTGTGTCCACTGTTCTGAGATGTGCAGAATGCCCCTCCCACTTCGTTCAGATTTAGATGGTCTGATAAAGACGCCACCTGGGGGGGGGATGTGTGAGGTGAAACCCGGCTGGGGCAGGAGGTCCTGAGGTGGGGCGGGCAGGGCGGATGGTGAAGTTGGAAAACCAGGCAGCGGGAAGCGGAACTGAGCAGGGGACACGCCCCCACCAGACCGGCCTGAGGCGGATTTTCTTGACTGACAGTGGTGTGGGAGCCACTGCCACCTGCGGGCAGTGGCCCTGCTGTGTGAGCAGCGGGGAGGGGCCGCCCTGGTGGCCCTGGCGCCCTGGCGCCCTGGTGGCCCTGGCGCCCTGGCGGCCCTGGCGCCCTGGCGGCCCTGGCGCGGGTCTCTGCCCCAGCAGGAACCCACCAAGCAGCGGCCACCACCCTCGGCCCTCACCGGGTCCAGCCTGCATCAGTTGCTTCCAACATGTCTTCCTCTCCACTTCGCAAGCTCCTATGCATCCTGCAGGACCCACCGCAGGGTCCCCTGTTAGGTGGAAGCTGTTCAAACCCCTCAGTTGCCTCCTTCTGGGGACTCTCCTCCACACCGGGCCTAGCACCCCAGGAGTGGGGTGCCTCTGACCGGGCTGACCTCCAGCAGCACCTAGACCATCACCAGGTGTCATAGGCCGACGAAAGTGTCAGGAATCCTGGGGGGCTTCTCGGGGGTGGCGCGCTGCATCCTGGCCTGTGTTGGTCACAGTTTTCTGGAGTAACAGAACTTACAGAATGAATCTCCCTCCATATATAGGGAAAGGGGGGTGGAATGATTTCTATGCTGCAGTCCAGGTAATCCAACAATGGCTGGCTGTGAACAGAAAGAATCCAGTAGTTGTTCAGTCTCCAAGCCTGGATGTCTCAGCTGCTCTTCAGTATATGCTGGAGCCTTGAAGAAGTACGTTCCAATGCCAGTGAAGGAGTGGATGTGTCAGTAAGTCGAGGGCAAGCAGACAAACAGCCAAAGTCTCCTTCTTCTCTGTCCTATTAGACTTCCAGTCGAAGGTGTGGCCCAGATTAAAGGTGTGTCTTGGGCTGGAGAGATGGCTCAGCGGTTCAGAGCACTGGCTGCTCTTCCAGAGGTCCTGAGTTCAATTCCCAGCAACCACATGGTGGCTCACAACCATCTGTAATGAGATCTGGTGCCCTCTTCTGGCCTGCAGGCAGAACACTGTATACATAATAAATAAATCTTTTAAAAAAAATAAAAAAATAAAGGTGTGTCTTCCCACCTCAAGACCCAGATCAAAGCATGTGTCTGACGTCTCCAGACTGGACGTGGATCTTCAGGTGGGAGGTGGTGCTGAATTGTGAAGGGTCCAGGAATACAGAAATATTAAATTATAAGCTTAAGAGATAAAAACCAGTCAGCTCTAAAGGTTCACTGCTAACAATTCCTCTGCTTTACAGCAGCTCCGGTCCACAGCCAGGGGTGAACTTTTAACCCCCTCGCCCTTAGAGCCAACAACTGCCTGGACCAAGTTAACTTTTAATAGTTGTTTCTCCGTGACTCCTAGCATGCACCCCATGCCTGATGTTTCTCCGTGACTGTTAGCATGCACCCCGTACCTGATGTTTCTCCGTGACT